TGCTGGAAGAGGAGTGAGGAGCCGGCGAAGAAAAAGGTTGTTGAGCTTAAGGCTAAGCAGCAGCAGTGGAGCCGAGTGACGACGGCGAAAGAGTAAGTCGTTTGGTGGCGTCAGAAACGGCGGGCACTTCGGCTGATAAGCATTCGACCATTCCACTCTCTGCCGTCTAGAATGTGGTCGTTATTCCACAGTGTGCAGGAGAATATTTCCTGGACACTAAGTACACCACCAGAAGAAGAGTAATACAATTCTCTTTTGTGATCAAATTAAAAACCAGGGGTTGCAGTTCTGCATTATAAGTTCCGACCCAGTCAAACGCGTCGCTAAAAATTGCTGGATGGCATACGACGTTGGCATCCACACACCCTCGTTCGTCTGCATCCGCAACAGGAGATGATCGTCTAAGCCTTGTCAGATTGATTAAATGCTTACTCGTCTGAAGTGCTTGGTTCGCAGTTCCCTTGGCAGGATGGTTTGTCTCAACATGAGATGCGGGATGAGGGTTGTGTTGCCGATAAACTTCGCATCCGAGGTGGTATCGCCTTCGTTTTCCCCACAAATCGGGTTGGTGGTTGTTGGCCGTTTGCAGCCAAATGTCGCCGTGATCGCAACGATTTTAGAAACTGTGCCAGATCCACTACGCGGTCTAGATCTCTGAGCAGTCCCTGCTGCAATAAGGTTACTTCTATCTCCAGACGACCCTTTTTTGGGTGAAAGGGTTCATGTTTTCGCATCCATCTCTACTACGAATCGTGTCCCCATTCACATCGGAGTTAAACTGAGGGGCACATCCGCTCAGCCCATCCGAAGAAGAGGTGGTTTACGTAGCCTGAAGGGTGGACACTGCGTCAGCCTGGTGAAGCCGCGTCATACGCTGGGCCGGCTGCTGCACCCCCGACTTCTTGGCTCCGGCGCTTAGTAGATGAACTTGTAAGGAGTGTTGGAATGACCATTCTGCGTGATAGTGACAGGTGAAAGCCACCTACATTGCTTGACCTGCATGGCTCGTCCACTTACAGGGCGCGGGCCAGGCCAAGCAACAACCACTGCAGCTGTTATTGGCTCGATATCTCCTCCACCACCAGCCACTGGCCATGTCAACTTAGCAGCATACTACAAACTTATCACAATAGCTGATCTGCAGTCACGCTATACTCTTTGTGGTTTTAATAACACTGTCAAGTTTGACAACTGAACACCTGCACTTTCCACAGCAAGGCATACACAAATCTTCCACTCTACGGGTGTAACTTATCCTGTGGTACTCCATAGTTGCTTAGGTGCTCCTGCTTGTGTTGAGGACAAGTCCAGATCCCCCTTTCTTCGCTATGGTCACGTGCAACACGTGGAACCTCCCCAGGTGTTGAATGGCTCTTTGCAGTCTCCCAGGCCCGCTACATACCAGATATGGATAAGCGCATCTCCGGACCTTGGATGGGTTCCTGAAACCTTGAGAAACAATTCCCACGTTGTATGTTACAGTGCCTGAGCCGAGTCGTGAACTCTCCCGCAGATGAAACCTTACAACAGGTTTCTCAGCCAAGGAACACGGAAACGAGCTGTGGTTGTAGGTGGCTTGTATTCATCCAAGGTACTGATCGCTATCAATAGAAGCATCACGAGCTAGACCTACAATTGTAGACTCAGCCAGAATGCATACACCCGGTCGCCCATTGTCAAGCATACGATGTGGTGGTACTATTCTTCCCTGCTCTGCTACACTACCAAATTCATTACTGATTACCCAGGAATAGAAGAATGTTGACCTAGCCGCTGAGGTAAGCAGGGATCGAGCGGATCTGGATCTCTCAGAATGGCGAACAGGAATCTGACATTTCCGACGCTGTTGGCAGTGGCTGATCGTCCCGTCCACTCACATCTTAGGAATGGTCAGACAGGTTAAGTCTCGCTCGGCCGGTTTCACAATGACTTGCGTGCTTGACTCCAAACTTTCCTCACCATCGTTCCTATCATCTGTTTGTCATGACCCGTTATCACTGACCTCAAAACCTTTACTTATTTTCCACCAATGGCTCACCTCATTGGCCCAGCTACCCTCTCCCCCTAACCACCAAACACAGTAAGGTAGTAAATGCCACCCTCCAGACCCAAAACATTCCCTGGTTCGCGCGCGCGGATGGCAACATCCCAGCAAGTACACTCTGACCCAGGTGGATACCATGAAAGGCCTCCCATCACTGCTGAACAGCACCAGCACCACCAAAAAATGGACACAATCCACCCCATCCACAGATACTGCTGAGAATGAGGGCCAGAGTGGTAGTACTATAACACCCACCAAGCCGCCCTCAGCGGACACATCCCCAGGCGGCTCAAAACCCCCCATGATCTGGACGCGAAGGAAGATAACATGGCTCATCACCCTGATAGCTCTAAGCGTAGCCATAATCGTGGTGGTGATAACCGTCCCAGTAGTTCTCCTGGTGGACGATGCCCACAACGACGATCCCAGCTACTACAACAGCGCCAATCGTCCAGTCCGCGTCGTGCATGATTTCCCCGACCCGGGGCTAATCCAGGTGAACAGCACGTGGTATGCATACGCTACAGTCGCTACACCAGATAATCCCGATGTTCCTCACGTCCCGGTATCGACATCGCGGAACTTTAGCAGCTGGGACTGGCTGCAGGGATACGATGTCATGCCGGCAATGAGCAGCTGGGAAACGAATATGAATCAGTACGCCCCGGATGTGATTCAACGCGTACGTACGGACCCTCCCTTCAAACACAACAAATCCACTAACTAATCTTACAGAAAGACGGCCGCTTCGTCCTCTACTACTCCGGCGAACTCAAAGACTGGCTCCGCCACCACTGCGTCGGCGCCGCCGTCTCCAACAGCACAAGTCCCCTAGGACCCTACATCCCGCACAACAGCACGCTCGCCTGTCCGCGCGACCACGGCGGCGCTATCGACCCCGCCCCATTCAAAGACGTCAACGGGACCCTCTACGTCGTGTACAAAGTCGACGGCAACAGCGTCGGCCACGGCGGAGACTGCAACAACGGCAAGAAACCCATCGTGTCGACGCCCATCATGCTGCAACAACTCCACGACGACGGCGTCACTCCCGTCGGTGACCCCGTCCAAATCCTAACTAATGAAAAAGTCGACGGGCCATTAGTCGAAGCTCCGGATATTATCCGCACTGATCGGGGCATCTACTATCTGTTCTTCTCCTCGCATTGCTATACCTCGTCAAAGTATAGTGTCAAGTATGCGTGGTCGACGTCGCTAAAGGGACCGTATACGAGGGCAGAGAGGCCTTTGTTCCAGACTGGGGACTTTGGATTGAAGTCGCCTGGGGGTGCCACGGCTTCGATTGATGGGAGTAAGATTGTTTTTCATGCTTTTTGTGGGGATTATAGATGTATGTTTGCCGCGGCGATGAATATTACGGCGAATTATACCATTTTGCCGGCGGCGCTGTGAGGTGGCTGTATAATACTATATTTGGTTGTGGTGTTGTTTTGTGGGATAGATGAGTTTGAGATGTACATAATTTCGATAAAAGTTATAGACCATGTTTCATACACGAGTAAACGTTTCAGCCATCCATCAATACAAATCTAGACCCAGTGTTGAGTCTCCTAGTATGTAACACAATATAAGTCCAATGAAAAGGCCAGATCCTCTAATAACAGCCCACAGCATATCACAAAACTACAAACCCACACATATCCTCCAATAACCCAAATGAACATAAAAGCAGCACAGACAGCCCTCAGATTAGCTCTCAGGTTCTCACCGGTTTCCAGGCAGATAATAGTAATGACTTATGCAAGGATGCACTCGTCAAATTGCCGGATACCATGCAAATTTGGCTTTTGATTCATGAATTCGTCACTGGGCTGTCTGTTGCTTGTACTTTCTTTATTTCATCCATCTCTTGTCCATATCATTGATTTTAATTGCCAGGTCGGTTTGTTGTGTTATTAGCTGTACTGTATGCATGCACATTGACATGTTCAATGTGATGTAATGTGATATCCATGTCATTATTGGATACTAGCATGTCCTATTCCAGGGGTATGGAGGTAGTTAGTAGTAGACATATAACCAACATAAAGTATGAGCAATCCCAACATTAATCTGATATCAAAATAGGGACAATAGAAAGACAGGGGAAAGAAAGGGAAGGATAGAACACAGCCATCAGATTGAAAACTACCGTTAAAACATCACTCCTCATTGACCGTGCTCGGACATCGTTATCTTCATGAAGAGAAACAGATGGAGCAGTAACGTGTATGAGAGTCTCGGAGTAAAGTGCTAGATTTCTTCGTCATCATTGGCGGTGGCATGCTGGGATAGAAGCAGAGGGGATAGTGTGGTAGGTTCTTGCAAATATATCAGAGAAATTGTTAGTGCTGGAAATAGGGGAAAATATCATCGATATCGAGAAAAGAAGAAGTGAAAGTAGTTAGTATAATATGAAAAAGTGAGTTGAGCAAGGCAAGGCAAGGCAAGGCTATCCCCGAACATTAGAGGATGATTCCCTGCCAACAATATAGATGTGAAAAGGGCATGTTGAGAAAGAATTGTGCATCTTGGTAATCTCTTAGATCTCTGTTCCAGTCTCAATCATCCACGCTTGGGTCAGATGTCTTCTTCCATTCGGTCTCCCGAAGGATGAAGTCCACTGCCTGATATCAATCATTAAAGGGTGTCATGAGAAAGCTCTTTGTGTGTGTTTTATCGTCATTGAGATTAGAAAAGCGCTATCCATGAAAATTCATAGAAAACAGCTATGAATAGGCAAGAGTCGCGTCGAGCGGCTCATCATCTAAGATATTACACATGTGGTGTGTTGCTTCGCGAAATTGCGCGTGGTTTTTGTAATCGACGCAAATGGCACGTGATCCTGATTTATCCAGATTGCTCTGCACCGCATGCTGAGTAAGACTGTGCATATAATGCGCATTCACATTATCCAATTGTCTATATTGCGATATACTATTTATAATCCATATTTACCATTCCACCAATATATCGACCCTTATGTTACCCAACTAGGTAATCATTCCAAAGACGGTGAAACAGACCCAGAACCATCCCCAGAATCAGCAGGAGGAACCCACTCCCCCTCACTCTCCCAAGTCCCCGGCCTCGTAAAATCCTCATACCAAATTCCACCCAACGCATTGACCTTGATATACCCGAACCGGAAATACTCCGGCTCACCATCCAAATGCCGCGTCCAATTGAATGACTCCAACATTCCATCATCAGACTTGAACGCCCGGAACCGTTCAACGTCGTTAACAAGCACGCTAATACCATCTGCATCCTTATCTACATCATTGAAATTAAACATGATGTTCTGACTCGACAGAATAGCAGGAGCACCAATGACTGGCAGGACGCTGCCCAGTTGCGCGCCGTCCAGCAATGCCGCGGATGTCTGGAGTATGCTGTCGAAGCCCCAGCGCGCAATACCATTGATGAACAGTCCTATGAGGAGGCCTTGGTAGAGCAGACTGGGACGCGTTTGGAGCGTTGTCCCCGGTAAGAAGAGGAGGCTTAGAACGTAGTGATGGATGCGGAGGTTCATGTGCGGAACAAGCATCAGAGCAATCACGCCGCAGACCATGATTCCGTAAAGAAGAAGCATTTTTGGCATGCGGCCTTCTCTGCGGAAAGCAATGGCTTGGGTGAGGACGATGGCGACGAGAAGGCCGACGATGATGATCAAGGCGGGAATGGCGCCCGGTTGTTGTTGGATGTCATGTGGTGTGAGGCGTGAGATGGGAATCTTGTCGAATGTGTCGGTGTTGAGGGCGCCGACCCAGCAGCTTCCCAGCCAGAGGACAGTCTTGTCCCAGTGTGCGGTGAGGTCTGTCAGGGTTTTGCGGACACAGAAGTAGTACATTGCAAAGCCGACGAAGGCGCAAGGCAGGAACCGTCCTAGGGCCGTGGATACCACTTCATAGTAGTCGGGGGAGTAGGGCGGGTCGGAGGACAGAGCGACCTGGAAGTAGACGATGAAGTAGATGGAGGCGTAAAATGCTGCGGGAGATGTGATGAACAGAGATAGTAACGTGGTGGCGATGACTGAAAAGGTGAAGAGTGGCCAACGTAGGTCCTGACAGCTTGTTTCGGACGACTCTTCACCAAAGGTAAAGGAAAGTGGAAAATATGAGGCGTAACCGATGCTCTCGATCCCGTTCCTTGTCACTGACGGAAACGTGGTTCTTTCGCCCGTTCGTCGCAAGACGCCACAGCCACCTTTCTTGCTGTCTATTAGACCAGCGTGTAGTGCTGCAGGACAGATGGCTGAATCTCCGCGGTAGATGGCATCAGTAATATCACCATCTGTAGATCCCCCGATAACAAGAGGACGATAATTGTACTCTTCCGGGCCTACAAAATACGGCTCTAGCAGCATCGCATCTGCACAACTTGCGGGGCAGCGAAAGGCAAATGCCCCATTGTCAAAGGGGCGGCAGGAATCCCCATTCAGACCGCAGTCGGTCGAATTTGGCCTGCATAGAGATGAGTTTAAAAACATCCTAGAACCACGAGCAAGCGACATACCATAGTCTAGCGTGACATGATAGCTTGACAGGCACACCATATCCGGATACCTGCTGACCAGCTACAGAAGAATGCAGGATGGAGAGGAATATGACACCCCAGGTGCATATGCAACCCAGCAATAGCCAAACTTTGGCACGGGTGCTCGGAAAATAACGCTCCACAAGGCGGCCTGGTGCCGTCTGCCAGCGCTGCAACCATGGGGTGATCTGATACCGGTGTGGGTATGGCGGGCCTTTAATCCACGCGCGGATCCCAGAAAGTGTACATGAAAATGGCTCCGGCGCTATGCGTCGGGGTTGGTGAGTTGAAGTTGGCAATAATGGTTCATTCGTGGTCTCTCGCTGGTCGGGCCGGGCGGAGTCGGAACTTTCCCGCCCAACCGTTATGAACTGACTGCTTTCGGAGTCATTCTCATTCGGATCAAAGACGGCCAACGGGTAGTCTTGGGATGTCTTTCCAAAGGAGGATGATGGAGATTTTGACCTGCCTCTCGAAGGGTGCTCCGGGCGCATTGTTGAACCGTCGGTATTGTGAGGAAGAACCGCGGGAGAACTCAATCCAAAGTCAAGAATGAACGGTTGCTTCGGAAGCTCGCCAGTTAGTCATCATGGACTGGATTAAGTTAGGCAAAACTAACACATTTAGTATAGAACCCTTTCCAAGAGTATGGTTTTTGAAGAGCTATACCGGTGCAACGATAACTGGCCGAAAGCCGTCATTAAGAAATTGTCGGTGCCACTCAAGTATGCCATGATGTCCCTCCCCCGAAAACAGTGCAGCCTCGCTGGCTTCCATTCTTCCCTATCGAGCGCAATCATTGGAGAAGCACATATCCGGTTGCTCCTGTCAGTAAAAAGAGAGAGACCTGTATAGCTGGTCAGTATTATACCTTGCCAGATGCTGGAATAAATCGCTATGAAAGCCATGGCAGTAGAAGTTTGCTCCTTACGCTCTCCTATCGTAGCCTTGCAACCGATGCATTGAATGATGTATATGTGTTAATCGCATCGAATTTACCGGACATGGCTAGCCTTGTTGCTTGTTAGCTTGGCAAGATAAAGTTTCTTCATACATGAGAAAGGGAGCTACAGAACACTGAATGGTTCTGTGGCATAGCCTGACCATCACGCTTCTTCTAATTTGTTGCCTTTCTGTTGCCTTCCTTACACCATGACTTTCAGTGGATATGCCTTTTAGTCAGCTCAAATAATATTTCACGGAACAATTGCGCAAATACTAACTTGCCAAATTGACCGTGTTACCATCGTGGATGACCGCAGCCATTAGCCACCTGACCACGGGTGAGCACGACCCAGCCTCACAGCCTCGTCTAGGATGCCTCTCGCAGCCTTGCTTTCTACACAGACGAGGTATATATTCAGTCACCGAACGTCGATATGAGCAAATCGGAGGATCTTCACTTCAAAACGACTGAGAAGCATTTGGAAGCGTTTCTTCAAGCATGACTTCTTTCCTATTGAGTGATGTGTCGACATCGCCCTCTCCAGAGCCAAAATATGTCACCCAGAAGCAATGTGTCACTCATCTCAAGCTTCTCTCAGCTTTTGCTGAATTGCGAGATGTAGTTAGCAACAATGACGGGCTTTTCGGGCTTCATGACACAGACGGACATCAAGAGGGTGATGTTCAAGACAAATACCATGCCTTGGTTAAGGAGAAGCGCTGGGCTGTATATGTCGCACGGGCTGTGAAACGATACACAACTTGGTGGTTCAGTTGTCTCCCAAGCCCGGAACCGCTTCCCAAAATGGCAGATATTCGCAGAAATGCTTATGCCAATGTCGTCAAGCCCGAGAAAATAGTGCAGTGGCACCAAGATATCCTTCCACCCCTAGGTGAGTGATTCTGATCTCAAACTGACACACTGCTTGCTAAAACAAGACGTGGGATAGATGTTCTCATGGTGTGGCACTCGCATATGCTGAATCCACGCAAGTATCTCGAAGACTGTATCCGGTATGGCAAGATGTGTGTTTGGGGTGCAAATTTCCCTTGGGAGCTTCTTGACCAGCAGATCGATGGCACAACTTTTTATTACACGGCAACTGGGGAAGCGTGTCGGTATTTCGAGTCTCAGGTCGGTTCTAGTTGGGACAACCTTCTTGATCCGCTCACTACCATTGTTCAATGTCCGAACTGCGGCACCGAGGTCATCGTCAGCTGGACAACAATCCCAGACATGACAGACGTCAAACACCCTTTTGACATCTGCACAGGCTTAGCTGACAAAGGCTTCCGTGCTGTCTGCCACAAATGTGAATACATGATCGACCAAGAGAAGCTAAAGCTGGCCAAGTGGCGTCAAGATGTGAGGTCAGTGCGGGAACAGAGTCGGCCTATGCCCGGGTGCTTCTACAACTTACGTGGTGTCCCATTTCCAGTGTCCATGAGCTGGAAAGAAGCAGCATTTCTATATCCAAGCCAACTTATCCGAGTTGTAGCAGACGACATACTGGAGTTTACCGATCCCAAGTTCAATAAATGCCACAGTATCGCCGCTGTGCGCGATTATCTCAAGAAAAGAGTCCAAGAACGCAAAGTCCTGCAGATGGCACACGAGTCACATTTCTCAAAGGTTCAGCCCACTCGGGTTGAGAAGATATGCATCCGTCGGATGATCTCTCGATACTGGGATAACTCTGGCCCATTTTCCCTGGACTTGCTCGCCGCTGTCATCAGACAGGGTAAGTTTATTCAACAAATGGACCGTATCAACTGGCTTAGGTCACCGACTCTCCACGCCACCACAAACCGAATGATCAGAAAGTACAGTGTCTTCTTCGGAATCATGGCTGATAACCCCAAAGAAATGGCCGTACCGACACTAGATGTGGATTTGGCATGGCACACACACCAACTTTCTCCCAGACAATATTACAACTATAGTGTGCGTTTAACCAATAGGCCAATGCAGTTCATCGACCACAATGACAAGATTGATGAGCTAAAACTAACTAATGGATTTGAATGGACTTGCAAAACATACCGTGAGGTTACCGATGGGGAGATCTACAGCGAATGCGTCTGTTGGTTCTGCGAGGCGATCCGCTATCCCGATCTCTACGGTCATTTCCGCTCATCATTGTTGTGGCTTTCCGATGCTCGCAAAGCCGTTGATGAGTTGCACAGACAGCATGATCAAGCCTCTAAGTCTGACAGTGGGCCGCACATTTCTATTCACAGTGCTGTCCGCCTTCAGAACAGTGAGGTCAACCGAATAATGAGAGAAACCAAAGCTTTGCAGCTTCTAGAAGCTTACAGAAAGTCCCTCAGGCGGGCTCAAAAGCATTCCCGTTCATCCAAGGCGCTTGAATCTGCCATCGCAGCGGTCAACTCTCTTGTCTTGCCAACCAGTCTGACTACGGACTCAGTCGTTTCTCAGGACGAGACAAGCATGTTGTCATCCGAGGAAGATGAGGTCAACCATGAGAATAATCATGAGACCGTCGACGCCATTTCGAATTTCTTCGACGGCATCGAGAAACTTGTAGATGGACTTGAACAGCTGTTCCATGACGATCCTCACTGTACGGACGGATCGCTTAGTGGGCAAGGGAATTGTATTTCAGGAACGTGCGGCTCTTCTATCGCGGCTGGGAGCTGTGTCTCTTGTGGGAATGCGTCTGCTTGTGGTGCTTCTGCAGGGTGCGGTGGTGGTGGCGCTGGAGGATGTGGTGGAGGGGGAGGGGGAG